GAGGATACTTGTTTCGGGCCATGGCTGAAAGTACAACATCCCGGTGGAGATGCGATGTTGACACACCTGTTTCTTCAAACCATGACTAGCGATCTACCAGATACTATACAACGTCGTTATAAAGAGATATGGTTTGATTTTCCACCGGCGTATACGTGTTTTGGGCATGAGGAGTTTTGCTTAATCACCGGTCTACGCTTCGGACACGATGATGTAGGTCGGTACACTAGACACATTACCCGCCCATTATGGTTATCCCGGGTTTTTCCTAAGCTGGAGATGCCGAATCTACACGTGGAAGACCTGACGAGATTATTGAATAAGAAAGATGGTTTTACTCGGATGGATGACATCGATGTTGTCCGAGTATGCCTTCTAATACTTTTGCATGCCGGCTTTTTAGGCAGAGAGGCCAGACAACCTATTCCGAATGATCTAATCAAATTGGTAGAAGACCTAAATGCGTGGAACATGTTTCCGTGGGGCTCGTATTTATGGAAAGCTACATGGAATAAGTTATCGTCTGCCTTGGATGATCGAAAAAGTTTGCATGGCGATGGTTCCAAATACACTTTGACATGCTTTATTTTAGCCTTTAAGGTAAGAATTTTTATATAATGTTTCCAAAATTATAAGTAATTATTTAACAATTACTAATGTTTGTTATTATATTGTTTGTAGATTTGGATATTTGAGGCCTTTCCCGCCATGAAGACATATGCAATAAAAACTTCAAATGATATTCCTAGGGCTATTTCCTGGAAGAGGAAACGGACCTTGCAATGGGAAGATTTACTACGGTATACGACAATAAATAATGTAAGTTAACATAAATACTACCATATGTTTATAAACAAGTTATTACTAGTACACGTTTAACTTTGTTTGAGCTTTTATATTGTTAGGAGGCCAACACTCCATTACAGAGGCTGACACCCACGGAAGCTAAGCTTGCCACTGATTAGTGGCAAGCTAGTAAGCGCTTTTTGATGGCACGGATGATGAGCAGCCTCCACTTCGGGAGCCATCACCTCACCCAGAGCTATCACCTCACCCAGAGCCATCACCTGATCGACCGACTATACACCTCCACAACGACAGCCATCACCTATTTTGTCACATCATCGAGCCTCTTCTCCACCATCACCGCAAGATAGGCGATCGGCAAAGTTGCCACGACGTTTATCTCCATGTTCTCCACCTCCACGGGATGAGTTAGGGGAGTTACGTGTTGAGGTCAATGCCTTGCGTGAGGAGGTTGGTACTTTACGCAAAGACGATGGTGCATGGCGTGTTGAGGTGTCTACTTTACGCGTTGAGGTAGTCGCTCTACGTGAGATGGTAGCATCGTTACAGAATGAGGTTCATACTCTACGCAACGAGGTAAGTTTAAGATTTTTCATATTTAACTTGATGATAAATTTACTCGTAATTTCACTTAGATTAACCATTTCACTTATATTGCTTAATAAATTCATTCGGTTGCTGCCAATACTACTAAACTGTTTTTGTTAGTATTTGTTTTTGGTTTTGTTTTTGTCTTTTGGTTGAAGTAATGCAATCCATTCAAGTTTCAATTTGCAGAAGAAGAATAGTTTACTTTCGCAACACGAAAATGACTATCGCAATGCGGAAATGGCTATCGCAATGCGAAATGAAAATCGCAACTACAAAATCGCAATGCGAAATGAAAATCGCAACTGCGATTTTCATTTCGCATTGCGATAGCCATTTCCGCGTTGTGATAGCCATTTTCGCGTTGCGATAGCCATTTCCGCGTTGCGAAAGTAAGTTTCGTGTTGCGAAAGTAAACTATTCTTCTTCTGGAATGTTTATATATGTTGTCCTTTTAAATGTTTATATAAGTGCTTACTTCTGGAATGTTATCTGATGCATTTTGTGAACTATGATAGAATAATGACTTGGGTGAATACAATGCAAGTTTGAAACATATTTGTCTTTGTTTAATATCATGTCTGTTTATTTACTGATTTATGTATTAATTTTTTTAGCGGCCCGATAAGGTGGATGCTTTACGTTGGGTTTTCCTTGCACGACAGAGTTCACGCATCAGACGGCGTGCACGTGCTATTACATCTCCGTTCACCCAATGGTGCGAAGACTCCGCAAGAAGAAGCCCGACTCACCTGTCATCCCTCAAGAGTCCCCTCCAGTCATTCAAGAGACCCCTATCATCCCTCAAGAGTCCCCCCCACCGTTCAAGAGGCCACTGTCATCGTTGAAGAGGTCCCTCCCACCATTCCAGAGCCCGATTCACATGGGGTAATATATCGAATTATTGAGAAACCCCCACCGTTGCCGGACATGATGGATGAGAGTTGGCTCTCGTATGAGTTACCGGCTAGTACCCTTCCGGTATCTGAAGTGGAGATGATACAACTACCAGAAACAATTCTGGATAATACCCTTTGGGCTAAGACCGCATTTGATTTTTATCTACATGAGCGGAGCCAAGGGTGTTACACTGACATAAGCAAACTCAACGATGAGATGTATTTGTTGCTTAATCGGTCTTGGTGGGGTGTGTTATTAGGGGTTTAAGACAGTGGCTATTTCGATGGGGAGGTAAGTCTTGATTGTTTAATTGATTTGTAAAAAATGATTTGTAATGTTTATTTGTTTAATTGATGTGTACATAATTCTTATTTGTGCTTGTTTAATTGATTGAAATGTAATAGTTGATTTGTTGATTTTCAATCTGTATTATGTTGAAGGCAAAACAGCCTATCGCAACACGAAACTGACTATCGCAACGAGAGAATCGCAACGCGAAAATGGCTATCGCAACACGAAAATGACTATTGCAACGCGAAAATGGCTATCGCAACGAGAAAATCGCAATGCGAAATGAAAATCGCATTGCGATTTTCTCGTTGCGATAGCCATTTTCGCGTTGCAATATCCATTTTCGTGTTGCGATAGTCAAATGAATGTCTAATAAGTGATAACAACTGAACAGATCATAGCAATGTTCAAACTCAAGTTACTAATACATGCCTAACTTAAAATGTTAAAAGTGCACACATAAAATACACATAATACAACGTTTGCATTTAAAAATCACCTAAGTTAACAGTCCCAAAAGGTGAAGCCGGTTGTAATTGGGATTTTGAAGATGATTGCGATTTTCAGAATCTCGTTGCGAAAGTCAGAATCGCGTTGCGAAAGTCAGAATCGCATTGCGAAAGTCAGTATCGCGTTGCGATTTTGTATTATCGCGTTGCGATAGTCAGTATCGCATTGCGATTTTCCAAATTCGTATTGTAATTTACTTATTCGCATTGCGAATTGGGAAAATCGTAACGCGAAATTGTAAAATCGCATTGCGATAGTCATAATCGCGTTGCGAATCTGGAAACTGATTTGCGATAATGGAGATCGCGTTGCGAATTAGCGATCGCATTGCGATTTTGTTGGTCATTTTGGCAAATCCGGAAAAAATTGGTTAAAATCGTATATTATATGAGATTTTTGGTCACTGAGGTTATTTTCTCTTTTATAAATTCCCATTCGGAAAGTTTTTAAGTTTAAATCAATTTATAAAATACAACTTGAATGAGTTAAATAATAAATCAAATAACTGAAAAATTTTAATAATTAATTAATTTAATTTTAAGTTTGAGTCGAGTCTCTCGACTCTATATAATATATATATATATATATATATATATATATATATATATATATATATATATATATATATTTTATATGGTTATAAAAAATATTTAAATTTGAATCAATAGTATTATAATATTATAAATATTTATAATTAAATTTAAACAAAAACTTAGAAACTCAATTTGACTAAAATTTTAAAAGCTCATATCTACTCGAAAAATTTCAAATGAAGTTTTTGAGTTATAAAATATGATTCGTCAGCTCGAATAACTTGAAATTATTTTGACTGGACTCCACTCGACTCAATCGAACACTCACCCCTAAATTGTCGTGCATCCGATTGTTTTCTTTAAGGTAAACTATATCAATGATCACTAATGTTTGAGTAAAAAAAATTATTCGTTGAAGTTATAAAAGAAACATATTAGTCACTAATGTTATTGATTTATAAAAAAAAAACTATCACTCTACCGTCATCCCGTTAAATTAATGATGTGATAATGTTAACAAAAAGGTTAATATGTAATTTATCCTTAAACTATTGCTAAAATATCGACTGTCATTGAATAATGATTTTATATCTAATTTAGTCCAAAAATTTTGAGACACAAGAATTTAAAATGGATTTAAAAAGAAGACAAAAATAAACATTGATTTTTTATCTTTAATTGTCTACTCAGAATTCGTTACTAGATTAACGAAAATTAATAGTTGTGAGACTAAAACTGAATGAATTAATAACGTTGGAATCAAAACCGTTCTTTTTATATAATTAAAAAACATAAACAAATTTATTAGTTTGAGTTTACTTCAAAATCAAACTAAACGAACTTAAGAGTTTTAAGTAGAATAACATTTCTTTTAACTACAAACGTCACTCGATAAATTCATAAAAATACTATTAACTTAAAAAAATAAACAAATGCTAATACGAATAAAACATATTTGGATAGCGGGTTATCTCTTATTATATTATAAAATAAAGATAATTTGATACCTAATCAATTGAGATGTTTGGAATTGACTCGTACCATTAAACACATTATATATAATAATTGTATAGTAGGTTAATGAAAATTTTCTCGCTAGATTTGATTTTCATCTATAATTTGCCTCTTAATTCTTTTTTGATGCAATTTGACCCTTAAAATTGCCTTTGAACAAAAAAAATGGCCCTTGAGTTTTTGTTGAGTGCAATTTGGCCTTAAATTCTTTAAATATAAATTCATAATTAATTAAAATTTGAATTTGCACTGAATTAAAACTTATAACTAAAAGCCTAAATAAAGGGTCCAATGTAGTTCAAAGCCAAATTCATGGGCCAAAAGGTGCTTTAACCCTATATTACAGAATCTGCAACGAAGTCGTTTCGAGACATCTTCTGAGGACACCAATTTACAAATTGTGCGCTGCTTCGCCGTCGCGAGCATCAACAGAAGAACCATAATGGCGACCGAACTGGAAGAGCTAATAGGCTTCCTCACTGCCCCCTCTCCTCCAGTAAGTTTCCATTTGTTCATTTTAACCATCTATTTTTCTTCCTATAATTCGCCTCAATTTGATGTAAAAAATCTATTATCTGGATTTTCTTTCTTACCCAACCTGTTTTCAAGTTCTACTCTGTATTTATCTACTTATCAGCAAAACTAAGCTAAACAATTCATTTCTGGGTCATTTCATTTTCATACAACAAAATCCCATTTATTTCCCAGCCTTAGCTTTCCTTTTTACTACTTGTAGTATTCAAAGTGTTGAATCTTATTATAATTATATAGAAGTTTCTCCGATAAGTGTTGTTACTGTTTCTAAGCTCAGTTGAATTTCTTGCAGTGATATTTATTGATTGTGATATGTGTAGGTGAAGAAGGCGGCCGTCGATATTGTGCGAGGATTAACAGGGTCTGAGGATGGCTTGCACTCGCTTTCCAACTATGCCAACTCCGTGCTTCCTTCGTTGTCTCGGCTTTTGAGTGATGATAAGGTGTTTATTATTTCACAAAACTTTATTTAGCTAGTCATTAGTGCTTGCCAGTTAAGTGGTTTCATTGAAAATATTTGAATCAATTAACACAAGTACCTCTCTTTTGATTTCAATTGTATTTTGTTTTATGGAGTGGTTGTCTCATGTATCAATGTTGCAGGAAGTTTCAGAACCAGCTGCTGAAGCTCTCGTAAATCTGTCCCAAAATGCAGGATTGGCTGCTAAGATGGTTGAAATGGGGATGATTAAAATAGCCATGGAGTTGTTGTATAAACCAGGCTCTGGTATTACTCGACTGCTGGTTATGCTCCTAGTTAATCTAACACAGTTGGATGATGGTATTTTGTCTTTGCTTCAGGTGCTTTTGTCATTGTCCTATCACTTTTACTAATCCTTTCTTAAATCTGCATGAATATTGGGACAGATCATAATTTATTTTTTAAGATTTAAAAGATTTATATGGAATGTTGTGTGTGTGTTATATATTGCTTCTCATCTCATTATCATTCTTTTTCTGCCTTATCTCCGGGAATCGTTAATCGCTTAGCAGGGGACTTTTTGTGCTTTTTAGATTGGAGATGACAAGATGCAAGGGCTTTATGTAATGAAGCTTGTAAGATCATTCTGTAGATCAAGTGAAACCAGTGGTGTGTTTTACATCTTTTCTCACTCAAGTTCATCTGTAGCCTTGTATACTTGTATTCATAGTGTATATTTCTTGTTCAAATGTTGACCTCACACTCTTTTGTTACATGTTTACAAGATGACCCGTTTGATCATGTTGGTTCCATACTTATAAACATCTCAAAGAAAGAAGAGGGGAGGAAAATGTTATTGGATCCCAAGCGTGGCTTGTTAAAGCAGATTATTAGACAGTTTGATTCATCTAGTCCGCTGAGAAAAAAAGGGGTATGTAAAAATGATTAGTGAAGTAGTAAGTATCTTCATTATCACTCATATTATGGAAATGGTTTCAATTTTTCTTCTTTTAGTTTTCTTCCAATTGTCCTATGGCATTATGCTTGAGCCAGAAAGCTTGGAACTCTTTCTAACCTTGTGGAAAATCTTTGAAGTTGAATTGAAATAGTTATAGCCCTTTGTAGGATCCTGTGATTAGACCATTTTACATCGTTGCATTATGTGTATAAATGCGAAAGGTCCCTTTTAGATAATTTCTGCTCTGGCCAAGTTTGGACTGTCTCAGAGAAAGGTTGACACATTAACCACCTGCTAGATAATAGATATTAATGAGACAGGACTAGCTTGTTCACTGTTGTTTATCGGCCCCAAAAATGATTCCTTCATATTTTCTCATATAGGTCTTATTATAGAATGAAGTCAATGAACTGTTTTAAGGGGGCTAATTGACTTTCCGTAAGATAGCCAACCTACAATATAATTATAGCCCCAGATTAACTTGAGATGGGCATTCGAAGAGCTTAATGAGTGAGAAGTTTGTTCTAAGAACTGAAAGAGCTGATACCACAAAGTCGGGGAATATATATTCAATAGTAGGCGTTCAGAGTTTGTTTGGTAGATATATTGACTAATTTGAGTATGATTAGGCTTGTGAATAGTTTCTTTTCAACCCTGTATTGTAAATAAAAGCTCACTCTAATCAAGCTTAGGGGCCAAGCTTATGCAAAAAACAATTCACTCCTGAACAGACCTATTAACTTATCTTCTCTAGAGATCAGTTGGTTGTTTGCATGGTTACAGGTTTCTGGAACTATTAGGAACTGCTGCTTCGAAGCAGAGAATCAACTACAGAATTTGCTTTTAATATCAGAGTTTCTTTGGCCAGCTCTGCTTCTCCCAGTTGCTGGAAACAAGGTAACATTTAAAATGTTTGCTGCCGGATTAAAGCATTTATTGTATGTTGGCTCATGACTAAGTATATAGTAGTCTTAGATAATTTGTATTTCCTTTTGGTTCCGTATGCATGTCTCTCATAAAATAGTTCTACATTCAAGCGGATAGCCAGTAAGTGAGCGATGCATTGTCTTTGCACCGGGAAAGAGATTTCTCAGTTTAGTTTGAATATTGTCGTGGCATCGTTTCTTGATGTGTTACATTACCTTCATCAGTTTCATGCTTATATCCAACAAAAGCTCATGCTTTGAGTTTTTCATCCCCCCCCCCCCCCCTCCTCCTCCTCCCTTTCCATTTGCTTATGGCTGTCCAGATATATAGTGAACTAGACACATCAAAAATGCCACTTGAGCTTGGAAGTGCACTTTCTATTGATCGTGAACCAGTTAAGGATCCTGAGATTCGTGTTCAAGCACTGGAGGCTGTTTACTTGATTGCTCTTCAGGTCAAATCAGTGATATTTCTTTTATTACTATCTAAGTGTAGCACACTGTTAAAACCCATTAACTATATTCTAGTTCCCTTACACATATTAGCAATGCACTGTTGCAAATGGAGCTATGAAAAACTGAAAAGGATCCTCTCCAAAAAGCGGTGGAAGTTTCCGCCACTTTATCCGATAGTGATTAGAATGCTTTTAACTAAATCTAGGGTTTTTATTTATATTCATTCTCAATTTAAGATCCCTAAAATTTCAATCATGGATTTAGTTGAAAGATAATTACTCAATTTCAGATTAAGTGGTGGAAACTTCAGGATCTAAGCTGGGAAATCAACTTAGATGCTTACCAAATGCATGGATTGTCTATTTTCTTCCTTAATAGTACACTATAGAACCAAACTAGGCTAAAATCGAGAACTTTGCTCCGGGTTAACTTTTTTTAATTTCCTTAAATGCATCCTCCTTAATAGTCTATTTTCTTCCTTAATAGTAAACTATAGAACCAAACTAGGCTGAAATCAAGAACTTTGCTCCGGGTTAACTTCTTTTAGTTTACTTAAATGCATCCTCCTTAATACTCTTCATACAAATTTTATATTCATCTTCTCTTCAAAAGGTACCGGTTGCATGCATCACAATCATCACAAATTTCTTTATCATCTCTCTAGGAAGCGGGTCGAAGAGCCTTGTGGTCTGTCAATGGACCGAGAATATTACAAGTGGGGTATGAAGATGAGGAAGATCCAAAAGTAATGGAAGCATACGAGCAAATCGGTTCTTTGGTATGTTTCGATTCATTCTCTATCCTAATTGCTATGGCGTATGATATAATCTTTCTATTTCTCATTAGTTACGAATCTGATACCAATTCTTGCATTCATTACCAGCTTGTTCATGGCAGCAGTGAGACTGAAGAATCATCAACAAACACATCAAAATAGCAATTTACTTTGAATGTTTATTGGTTTCTGGATTACCTGTTCAAGATGTTGCTCTGTAGGTTTTAAAATGCTAGCGGATGTGAAGCCATAGGTTCCTTGTTTTAGCTTAAACGACGTCGTACGTCAAGATCTGATTGCAAATGTTGATTATTACTTGTTTTCTCTTACGAAAAATATAAAGGACTGAAATTGATTATTTTATTAATCAATTTGATTAAAATTAATTACTTTGAAATATTTAATTAATAACAATGAGTAATGAATTAATTACTTTATTCTTGTACATCTATTTATTAAACTTTCTCCTCCGAAAGTACAACACAAATATATTTCCAAGAAATATCCAAATTTGCAGAGCTAAGCCCAAGCAATATATAAATTGAGAAATATTTTACTGACATGCTATTATATCACGCAAGTAATTAAATATTATGTTAATATTTTAATTTATTTTCATTTATTATTATCAACAATAAATGTTAATTTTTAGTTAAATAATTATTTTTATTTTAATGAATATGAAATTTTGATGATTATATTATTTAAAAAATAATACTCAAATTAAATATTCAATCAACTATTAAAGATATATTTTGATATTATAATATAAATTTATAAAATAAATTAAATCCTTTGTAAAATTAAGAGTTTTACTTCGTTTTTAAGACCGTTAAATGAAAGAAATTAAAGGTTGAGAATAATAGTATGAAATGAAAATATATTTATTGTAAAAAAATAATGAATTAATCTCAACTTTTAATTTATTTTATTTAACAACCTTAAAAAGATATAAAACTCTTAATTTTACATTGTGTAAGTGAAATTAACGTGTATAAAGTTTATTTAAATATAAAATATTCCAAAGAAATAAAAGATTATCCTTAATTATTTAGTTACGTGTCATTCAACTGAAAACTTACTAGTAGGAGTAGTTATCTTGTACGCCAACTTAATATACTCGAAGGTATAGATTCGTTCGGGCCTGTCAGATATAAAAAGAATTCTTATTATAGCCGTCGGATCAACTTTTGTAAAAGAAAATCAGAATTCAGAGGTTCAAAATTTGTTAGAAGAATTTTCACAATAGAGCCGCATGCACCAAATTAGTTCTCATGATATTTTAACATCATGTCTTCGTCATTTTCCCCAATTATGTTTTATTTGGAATTTTCCTTTTCATTCCAACTCTAACAAGAACTTTGATCCATCTGTCTTTCTTTCTCTTTATGTATAGCTGTTTCCCAAGTGCTTAGACTTTTAATCATTGACCAAACAATTATTAGCTAATTTTCTATGATTAAACCGTCAATTTTGACAATTATTCTGGGTTAAACCATTAGCTTAAGTTCTTTTCTTCCGTTCTTAAAAATTCATGTGTTTTGTTTGAAGTTTGTTTAGTAGATGGAGATGGGCTTCGTTATATCTGATGAGTTATTGGGAACTGTCGTTCCAATTGTTGTTTATTGGATTTATTCCGGAATTTATATGTGTTTAGGATCTTTAGAAAGCTATAGATTGCATTCAATAAGCGACGAGGATGAGAAGAATTTGGTTTCCAAGCGAACTGTCGTCAAAGGCGTCCTTCTGCAGCAAACAGTTCAGGCTGTTGTCGCCATCCTTTTGTTTGCGGTAAATCGTTGCTGAAACAATGATTCAATCTTTTACTTTCTGATTATTGATTTGTTTTTTCACAATCAAAATATAGTTGGAAATTTGTCGGTGCGATCTTGTTTTACCTTTATGTGTATCGTTGAATTTTATTATTGTGTTTGCCTTTTTGTTTTACTTTTGCTTTGATGTTTATTTAGATAGTAAGTTGGCTATAAGATTTCGCCAATTTTTCTAAGCATAGCTCCAGATTCTTACCCTTAATTACTTTGCAAAGATATCAGACAGAGATTGGTGTTAATTATTTGGATCACTTCACTGCATGTGATGAATTTGTTCAATCTGATAACAAAGCTTGGGTGAACAATCTTAAGCTGTTGGTAGCCATGAGAACACTTATCCTAAGTTGGTATAATACATATTCAGACGTGTATATAAGTACAATCCTCCAATTCTATGAGAAGATTTCCAGCAATATGAGCATATGTGCGTAGGATACTTACTTATATCTAATATTCACCTCGTGCTTGGATAACATAGCTTTGAATTGTCATTATTTTTATGAATTTTCAGCTATAATCTTACTGTTATTCTGCAGTATGCTGAATGATCTGTTTTGAAACTTCTTAATTAGATATGGGGTAGGCAGAATAAATGCGGAAATATACTTTGTTACAGCTTGTGTTTGTGCTCTACCAAATCAAAGTTCTTTCTATTTTAGGAATGATTTCGTAAGTTGCTTTGTATCTTGTCACCTGATGAAACGCTGATAAGCTGGTTGTTGTCATTTTGTTGTGTTCGAGAGCTCCTTTAATTTGCATGATCGACAGTTGGTTTTTGACTGGTTTTACTTTCCTTTTTTTTTCTGCTAATTGAACCTGAACATCCCTATCTTTGCCACCGAATATAGGGCTGTAGTTTCAGCTGGGAAATTGTCTCGATTATATATATTTTTATCAAACATTGCAATTTGCAGGTTGCAGGGAGCGAAGATGGGGCTTCTGCACTACAGTCAACTTCCTTTATTGTTCTAGTTAGACAGTTTGTCACAGCAATGATGGTTCTGGATACCTGGCAGTATTTTCTGCATAGATACATGCACGAGAACAAGTTCTTGTACCGGCATGTTCACTCTCTGCATCATCGTCTCGTCGTTCCTTATGCATTTGGAGCTTTGTACAATCATCCGGTGGAGGGGCTTCTCGGCGACACAATAGGCGGCGCCCTATCGTTTCTCCTGTCTGGCATGTCTCCTCGAACTTCCATATTTTTCTTCTCATTTGCCACCATGAAAACCGTCGATGACCATTGTGGGTTAATGCTTCCCGGGAACCCCTTCCATATTTTCTTTAGAAACAATTCCGCATATCATGATATCCACCATCAGCTTCATGGTACCAAATACAACTTCTCACAACCGTTCTTCGTCATGTGGGATAGAATTCTCGGAACGCACATGCCTTATTCACTCGAGAAGAGAGCAGAAGGGGGATTCGAAGCACGGCCGAGGAAAGAGTTAAAGGATGATTAAATTAGTTAGACCGAGCATCCTTTCGGTTTCTTGCGTAAAATGTACCGGCAGCTCTTTTTGCTTATATCGGTAAACCACACTGCTATTGTGATTTGTATATTCCTATATTCTGAAGTTCTAAACTTGAAGCTTACTTTTGTTTATAGAAGAATACGTTAGTGATGTTTGAAAACTTATTGACATGGTATTGTACAGCCGTTTGTATATCCATCAAGATTTTAAGTGAATTGAATTCTTAACTTTGATCGATAAATATATATTTATGTTTGTTTATTTATTTATGTTTCATTCGTGTTCATTAAAAGAAACTTATAATTTTATCTATGTTTGTTTAAAATTATGTTAGTATTTGTTTGTTTTACAATTGCGTATATATTCATTTAATACTTACGTACATATTTAAAATGTTGAGACATATTTAGCAAACATGTTCAAAAAATAGTAATGATCATATAATTAAAGCTTAATTATAAAATAGTATTCAAACTATAGCGTTTTTCATGAATAGGTGCCTACAGTATTTTTTGAATGATTTTGGTACCTAACATTACAAAAGTTATTACTTCAGGTGTCCGAGCCATAAACGTTGTTAATTTTTTCAGTTAAGTGACACATGTCACATTGTGGTTATTTTTTAAAAAAATATTTAAATTTTTAAAAAAATAAAATTATATGTATATATATTTTTAGAACACAATTTTCAAAATAACTCTAAAACTTTGAAAACATTCATTTCAACCTCTAAAACCCATGTCGGTCGCCACCCTTTGTCGTCGACGAAGCTCCACCCGACCTCACCTACCCCTGACAATCAATATTCCTATGAAATCGTGACCGATATACGATCAATCAATGTTTTGTACATCGTGAACTCTAGGACGAAAATCGAGATCCCACGCGATTTCGATGATCAAACGATGTTTTGTACATCGTGAACTCTAGGACGAAAATCGAGATCCCACGCGATTTTGATGATCAATCGATGACAACTGCGGCGATGTATGACTAAAAGGATGGCAGAGACTAAGTCGAGACGGTGGTTGTGACTGAAAAGGGTAGCTGTTGGGGTTAGAGTTTAGAGTTTTTATGAATTTTAAGTTTTTTTTTGTAATTTAATAGAACTTAGGATTATATATATAATATATATATATATATATATTTAATTTAAAAATAAAAATTACAAAAAATGTGACACGTGTCACTTAATAGAGAAAACTAATGGTAATTACAGTCCGAGCACCTAAAATGGTAAAGTTTATAACATTAGACACCAAGATTATTCAAAAACGATATAATCTAGACACTTATTTTATAATTAAACCTATAATTAAATAAAATCACAACTAATTAAAACTATATTCTTGAATAATAAATAATGAACATATTTCTTAATTGTTAAATATAAAATAATTAAAAATTAATTAAAATTAATTAAAATAAACATAAATATATTTTAAGTATCTTTTATAAAAAATAATTTTCAACTTCAAAATACCTTTAACCAAAAAATAAAAAACTTCAAAATACCCAACTAATAAACGGAATGTTCACAAACATAATGTTGAACCATGTTTTTGTAATATTTTGATATAACAAATTAAGACAAAATGTTTTTGGACTTAAATTGAATTTATTCAAAATTTTCAAAATTTTCAAAAATAATTCAAAGTCTATTAAAAGTGAATTTGAGCACAAAACTGATTTTCACATATGAAATACTGATATTATTCTTACAGTATTGATACTATATAGTACCGATATTATTCATGTAATATTGATACCCTAGGTAAAAGAAGTATCGATACTCTCAAGGTAGTATCGATACTACCAATTTGCTCAAATTCCAGAATGCAAAATAGGTACCGATACCCAAAGGGGTACCAATACTACTTTACATAGTAGTATCGATACCATGAGGAAAGTATTGATACCGTCAAGCCCAACGCCTAGTAACGACTAGTTTTATTTAAATATTACAAATGTAGTACCGATACTCCCTATAGGAGTATCGATATCCTCTACACTGAGCAGTTTTGTTTTGCAAATAAAGCATTCCCAACGGCTCCAAATCACTCCCAACGACTAGAAACGACTACAAACTCATTCCAACATATAAATACAAGTTCAAGACACTTGAAGAAGAATTAGAACAAATATCCAAGCAATTAAATACAAGAGAACTTTTCACTCTTTACTTTTATTCTCTTGTAAATATTAATGTTTTTGTGAACTTTAATTTGTAAACACCTTCCTTTTAAAAGTTTCTTTGTTTACTCTCTTTTATCCATTGTAAAAGATTTTGGTTCTATCTTAACTAATTGAAATGATAGGAAGTTGTAAAGATTACTCTTGATCCTTCAAAAAGCAAGAACAAATTAGTGAATTTGTTAAAAATACTAAGTGAAGAGCTTAAGTAGTGAATGTAGACTTTGATTGAGAAAGTTAAATCACTATAAATATTTGTACAACAATTTTCTATCCCTTTAATTCTCCTTAATCCCTAAAATTCTCAAAAAAACAATTTCCCCCTCTTGGAAAATTATTTTCGATTGTCAAATTTGAGCTTCATAAAAATCCCAACACAACCAAACCAAACGCAATAAACATCGAGTTGTTATTCATATTTATTTATTTAAAGCATACAATTTTTATTCATATTTATTTATTTAACTTAATAAACATACATACAAGTTACAAATGATCCCTAATTTGTGGAACTCTCTATTTGTTAGTAGCGAGATATGAACGACTGTTATTCTTCTGCAACAAACAGTTCAGAATGAAAATATATAGATATATGGAGCAACGCATGCCATTTAGAAGCAATCAGATAAGTCGGCAATGTCGAGTATTCGGTTGAAATATGAAATTCAGGATAACAGCATATGAGTGGATAAGCAGATGATTCATCGACAAAGACAAATAAGCAGAAAAATGTTCATAACAGCCTTTGGTAAAAACATAAAACCCTGATAAACTCGAACTACTATTTCAAGGTTCACAAATCAATCCATTAAGCCAACATTTACCCCATTGAAATTCTAGCTCTTGGATGATTGCTTTTCTTTTGCCTTCTGAATCTTCAGAACCTTCTTCACAATCTTCTGCTCTTCCACCAAAAAGGCCCGAATGATCCTACAATGATTCACAATCGAGAAAACAAGTCTTAAACCGTACCCAATATGAGATGACTTACACAAGTCTTAGGTCTTAATGTACAAACCTTTCCCTAACAGCACTTCCGGATAAAACTCCGCCGTAAGCTCGGTTCACAGTCCTACGGTTTCTAGGCAATCTAGACCTCTTGTACTCAGCAGGTCTCAAGTGAGGAATCTACAAAACATAGGCCACATTTAAGCTCAACTGGAGAAAACTTTACTCAAACAGAAACATACCCAGTTTCCCCTCACTATACCCACATTACATCTCAACTGAAATGCCATGAATATGTATCATTAAATCTAGAATGCGGCAAAGATCAAAACTTGACACGAAAAAATGAATCAAAATCTCCAATGAATCACATTTCAGCTCCCTAAAATCATACCCAGAAAACAAAATCCTCATAAATTCAACAATTTCGATCAAAATCTAAGAAAAGGACATACTCCTTGAATTCTCTTTCCAGTAACAGGACATTTGGGTCCACTAGCTCTCTTCTTCGTGGTTTGATAAACAAGCTTCCCTCCTAACAGCAACAAAAACAAAAGAAAACAAATCACCAACATGTCGATGCACCATCGATCATACGGAGTCTTAACCCATGAATTCAAAATAACCAAAAACCCAGTAACGAATCTGGGTTATGGGGGGAGAGAGAGAGAGATGGAAGAAGTTACCGGGAGTTTTGACGACGCGGTGCTGGTTGGACTTGGTGGCGTAGCTGTGACGCGTGCGGTAAGTGAGCCGCTGAACCATTTTGGAGGCCGCACCCTGGTTTTTTGGTCTAGGGTTTTTGGATTGCAGGCGAGTTCAGTTCAGTCCCCAAGGGATATTTAAGGGAAAACAAAACACGGACTATATTGGGCTTTTTTGTCTTAGTATTCCATCCCATATAGGGATGGCAAACGGGTACAGTTTCGTGGATTTCGCATCGCATCCGCTTCAATTGGAGTGTGGATGGGTATAATTTTAGCGGGTAGTGGGCGGGTGTGGATTTATAAAGTAGTACCCGTCGTGGGTGGTGGGCGGGTAATGGGTTTGAGACATTACCCGTCCCGCATCCGCCCGCCCCACATCCGCCCGCCCAACTAAATATCTATTAAATTTTGGACCATTATGAATTTAGGTGTAATTTTAGAGACTAATTTATAAATTTTAATAATATATAATATATAACATATAATTTAACTAAATATTAAGGATATTTAGTCTTTAATATGGTATTTAATTAGAGAAATATTCGGCTCTTTGATTAAACCCATAATCCCACTAACCACGTCACTTTCCATGCTCTTTAGCCCATGATGTCCATCCAAACACAAATTAACCGTACTATAAGCATTAACATCAAAAGCAGCAGTTCCATGCTCTTTAGTCCCTCAAAACCCATATTAGGCGCACTATGAGCATTAACATCGAAAGCACATAACAATCCAGCTCTGCGACTACATGCTCCCTACAATATGTCTCCATAACATTTGTAGAGCCACTCCTCTGACAAATTGAAGCATGCACTGCTACCCCATCACGAACTGTCTGCGAACCAACTCCAACATCTCATTAGTTTGTTGTCAGGCGGGTCTAGATGGGTATGTCGCTAGTGGGTAGTGGGTGTGGGGATGGATTTGAAAATGTACCCGCGTGGCCGGATGTGGATTTGAAAATTTGTACCCATCATGGGTGGTGGGCGAGTGGTGGATTGAAAAATAGTAGGTGGGTATAGGGATGGGGGAAGGGGTATCCGCACCCGACCCGCCCGTTTGCCATCCTAATCCCATAGTAGTCAGATTAAGTTCTAATTATATATCGGTTTAAATACCTTTTAACTCCCTGTAAATTTTAGATTTTGAAAATTTAGACTATCATCTCTCGATTTTAAAAACATTGTATTGATAATTTAAAAATCAAATATTCATTTATATTAAAATTTAGCTTTTTTTCAATCATATTGTAATGTTTTCGAGTAGTAATTTGTTTGAATTCGAGGCTTTATCGAGTTGGTTCATATAGTTATTGTTGTTTTTAAAATCTAAATTCAAGTATTTTAATTTTCATAAAGTATAATTTGATTTTTCCCTACTTGTATCAGTGACAGAATTATAAAAAATAAATTTTGAAAAGAAACTTGCTACTGACATGCAAATACAAAGAAATTTTCTCTTGAAATAATGAAAAGGTATGAATGGTAGAATCATTGTGGGGAAGTTTCAAGCCATAAACTATACTTTTGATTTGCTTCATTGATCAACTATAAGGATGTCAGCTAACAATACAAAGATGATTGTGCCTCGCTAAAATTGTCCTCACTCTACATATATCTCTTACCTATGCTATTCCGACTCTTCGTTTTTCTTCAAGTACTTATCCGACGTCCGTCTGACGTATTCAAACATACTCTCCAAATCTCGAGTTAGAGTCACTTAGCTCTTTGTAACCCCAAAGAAGGAAAAAAAAACTATGAAAAAGAAGAGAAAACCAATCAACCAACCCTCGGAATCAAAGAGGTTTTTTCAGCCAGATACAGTTTTCCACCAGCTCCATGTTTTATCAGCACTCGAGTACATCACTTTGAAGCCTTGAAACTTATTTTTGAGGTCATTGAGCTTCCTTGTTGAAGAAACTAAACCACTCGAAACTTGTTGTCAATCAAGGTTTTCAAGACCTGTTGTGGATAGGATCCGATCCTCGTCGAACTCTTCGTTTGCTTGACCGATTCGGATCGAAACCGTTGTTCCCGAGAGCCGGTTTCTTCTCGGTATCCATTCCCTTCGTATCGACCGCCTTGAGAACACGTTGTTCATGTCTGAAGACAACAAGGTCCAAATTTCTCAAAGCAGAAACTTCAACAGGTTGAATTGCCAATAACCCGAAAATTGCAAGAAATATAAGCACTCTTTGAGCTCTGCAAATCATTTTTTCCCTTGAACTCAATTCAACTCGAAACAAACAAGAAGCAAAAGAAGACGGACAACTAAATCTTTGATCTGTGTTGGTGTCACTCTATGGTTATGTTCCATTGCTGTAGACATAAGCCTGTTATTTATGTGTCCTGATGGATTTGGAAAGGAATTTAAAGGCAATATTAAAGGCATGGAGGGACCCAACATCAAAAGATGGGGTTTTGGGATTCACTAAAAATCACAAGTCTGCAATAATCTAAAGCAAATTAGGGCTGTTGTTTAGAAGAATCTGACATGGGTGACTAAATGGGTTTCTGGAAATTGGAATAATACCCTTAAGAAGCCAAGTATCTTTTTCTTTAACCTTTCCTTCTAATATATATCATTTGCCACAGTGTTTTGTCTGCCACATCATCCGACCAGTACCTAAGTGTACATTCGAATTGGGACCCACTTATCCCTGTCTGGCAGGCTTCTAGAATGCATGTAATCCGGATTATAGTTACTACGGATATATGTTTGTTGATGATATTGGATATTGTCACATCGATGGCTATTTACTATTTATTTGGATGGAGAAATTATAATTGATAATTTTATGATGAGGGATCGGTCTATAAATGAAGAATTGTATTCTTCGCTTCCAAAAGAAGAGAAAAAGAAGTGAGGGTTAAGATCCTTTTTGAACTTTAAGTAATCCTTAATATTGACGTTACACATAAAATCATGATGATTACTTGTAGATTGATAGGACGAATGAATATGATCACTTGGTAGTAAATTTGATTTTGACAAATCACATAAACTTGTAAAAAAATCTTGTCAAAAGATCATGGATCGTAATTGATCGGAGAATGTAAGTCTATGGAAGATTTGATCAATGGAAGAACTCTTGCAAAGGCATTGATAGACAAAAGAATGATATCAAACATACGGTTCTCAAAGGAGATATAACAATGTTCGAAGCGGATAAAATTTGTTATAAATTAAACAAAGGGTATTAAAAAATAATGACGTTCCTTTGATGGTAAGAAAAGGGTGTTGTTAGGGATTCTTTAATGGTAATGACTGGTCAAGGCAGAAGCCATGGACATGGACCACTAAGAACAGCAAGATTGCTTTGCAACAATAGCAAACCAAAGCTAAATCCCATTAAAAGAATGAGAATTTAAAGTGAAAGTGAATGTATATACACACACATATATATTATATGTAAAAGAAGAGGCAGTTCAAAAATCAAAAACTTGTCTTTTGTCCCTCAATTTGTTTAAATGTGGGATTATATGTATATTTTGCTTTATTTATTTTCTTTTATATTAAAATATGCAAAATGTCACATGCAACTTGGAACATTCTAAAGCATAAATTCTTGCACTTTAGGGTAAGTTTGTTTTCGAGATGTGGTGCTAATAATGGTGGCTGCTCATACCATTTCACTTCATCTTGGTCTTTATTATTGTTCTGATTCTCCACCTTTTATCATCCAATTGAACGTTACAATTATGAATTGCTTTCCTAAACTACTTCCAAGGATGTAACTAGGGTATGAGTAAATCCGGTCATGTCAGATTGGAGATTTTTTATTTTAAATTCAATCTCGTAACAAATTCGATTCTTTCCTTCATAACATTCACTTCGAACATGAATTTCAAAAAATATGATCCTATAAGATCAAGTTGAGTTGAAACCCGTTAAAAATTAAATATTTTAAGCCTCCTTAGATGTAAGGTACCAATAAACTCTACCCAAATAGGTGTTTCAATAAACTCTACCCAAATAGGTGTTTCAAGAAACTCTACCCAAATAGGTGTTTAAAAAAAGAAAAAGCGAAAGGATGTATAGATTCTCGAGGTTGGTCTAAAAGTGGATACTTTTAAAACTTTGATTTAAACCAAAGGAGGCAGCCTCGACGATCTTTGTGCTAATGAGACCATCCACAGTCAGCCTTACCTGAATCCCTGACCCATTCAAAATACCAAAGCAATTTAAAGAAAGAAAAGATAAAGTCTTTCCCAAATCCCAATCTTTCATCTATTCCCTCCCTTTCTTTTCCTTACCTAAATCTTTTCTTCCACTGTTTCATTTCTAACACATCCATACCCTAATCTCTTTTTTAGTTCTAAATCGAACCGATTTTTAGTATTGTTGATGCCATCGGATCTATCAATAGCCTTTTAGACAAGTTCACCGAGTTGGGATATATATTGACATTGTTATTGACCCCGGGTTGAGTCCTGTTGAGTTCACACACAGGTTTGTGAAATATAATTTGCATAGACTTCTTGGTGAACGCACTATGATTCTCGACGGCATCAAGGGACAAAACCTTATACCCGAGGAAGACACTAATGTTTACGTCTCGATTTTGCGAAGATCGGATCATAAACCCAAACCGATTTCAAGATAAACAATTGGATATTTTATATATAAACAAAATAGAAAGATGAAACAGTCTGAGACAGACAAGTTTCTTTTTTTTCAGCAGGAAGAAACTGCAAAATGGGATGTTACCAGAAACACACAATTTAAAGGCAGAATCTTTACCTGACTTTTACTTTTAAGGTTGTTCTGATAGATGATGATCAAGTCTGGTCGAGGGCATGTGAGAATATATGCCGCATTAGGGATGGGCATGAAACCTGAATCCGACGGGTTTCGACCCGATCCGACCCGATGGGGTCGGTTTTTTTAAAAAGAAATTCGGGTTTGGGTCGGGTCGGGTTTTACATTGAAATTTTCGGAGTCGGGTCGGAGTCGGTTGGGGGCTAAAATAATCCTACCCAACCCGACCCGAACAGTTAATGAATAATTATTAATTTTTTTTTTATTTTTTTTCACTTTCCCTAATGTCCCTTTACCTACCCGAACATGATCTGGTAGTAAGGAAAATGTCATCCAGGATTGTTAAATTAAATGTATGTCTTTTGGTACTTTTTCTTTAATTTATGT